CCATGCACTGACCAGCTTAGGTGGCCGTTTTCCCTGCCACACATTATTAAAGTGCATGTGTGCTTTCTATTCCATCTCATGCTGGTTTGACTTATTCTGCACACCTATCAGTGCACAGTGCAGAAAAGAATACTGCCCAAATGTATGGACATAACAGACAGTGCAAGCTAACTGCTAAAGGAATTTGATTGGAAAGTAAAGATGATAAAGTAAAGATCAGTGTTTTTAAAAACAAATAATAACAAGTGTTGGAGAGATGCTGGGATTCTGGGATGGTTGGAGACCAAACCCATATATTCAGGCATGGCCCCAAAATACTGACATTCTGGAGAAACATTAAAGACAAACTGGAAAAGATTATGGGTAATATTTTACCTTTGGACCCTATGTTGTTCTTATTGGACAACATGGCAGAACTAAATTTGACCAAAGACCGATGCTATATTCTATATATCCTTTTGATGACTGCTAGGAAAATGATAACCAATCACTGGATGCAGCCTGACCCTCCAACAATATCTGAATGGACACAGAAGATTAAACATGTCCAAATTATGGACAATATGTCTGCCACTCTACAGCTGAAATTGCCTTTGTTTATAAAGAGATGGACTCTCATTTCTCTATACATGGGTAGAAAATTAATAGAGGATGGAAAGATAGATATGCCCATATATATAAATATCATGTGATCCACGATCAAGGTTTTTTTTTTGTTAGTTTTTTTTTTTTGGTATTTTTGTCAGTCTAGCTGATTGTATGTTTGTCTGTTTTTTTATGTGGTTTTATTTTGCTGTTGTTGTATTGTGTGGTTGAGTTTTCCTGTAAGTTAAATACTTGCAATAAAGTTTTTAAAAAAAACTGAAAGTGCAGCCCATCCTTCACATAACACGGTGTTTAAATGATGGGTGCCAGTGCCAGATCTGTTCAGCTTTTGGTGTAACAGCTCTACAGAAGCTCCCCCATGCATTTTTGGTCCTTCCTCAATATTTAGCGAACACTGTAGTGTTCGTTTCTATGATTAAACCCATATCAACACAGAAAGTGACACATGCCAGTGTCCTGTTCTATGTTTGATTCTTACATCTGGTGTCTCCAGAATCATCCCAAAATCATGTGGCTTTCTCTGACCACAACTGTACTGTCCAAACACACTGTGTGTGTTTATGTGTAGAAGTGTGTAAAAAAAAAAAGTTGAAATATGGGAAAAGGAAACCAAATTCTGGTGACTAGATCCAAACATGTTTAAAGAAACTAGCTCCATAAAATCCGTTGGTAAAGTCAAAGATAAAACCATGATGTGTCTACACTGGTATCACACACTCACGGGGGTTCAGCTGAACCAAGTCCTGTGATCTGGAGATCCTGTGAATATAACCGATAACTTACTGTTTGATCATCTAAACAGATTAAACCATGGTGTTCTATCTAAATAAGCTCAAATGGGCCGCTCCAGACAGCCAACAACAAGAGATCCAAACCCACACACACACACCGAGGACAACCACGCACTCAGCACAAAGACACACACTCGTTGATTTGACTGCAGGAAATGGGTGTGTTGTACGTAAATGGTCCTCTACTGCCACCCTGAGAAATCTCACAGTAAAAGCTGGCACATCCAATGTGGCTTTGACCTGGACTGTTGGAATCTGGTACTATGGCACCTCAGTGACATGCGTTCCAATATTTAGCTTCACAGATGGAGGACTAGATAATAATAAATAAATTAATTAACAATTCACTGTAAAATTGAGGAGAGAGAAAATGACGGAGGACAGTGCATTGTGAAAGGAGGAAATCATCCATTGTGGGAATCTGTGAATAAATAAGTGCTTACTGGTGTAGAGAATCACAACTTGAATGTGTGCTTTCAGTAAAAAATATGATTACACGTCCAATCGGAGTCAAATAGAGCAATGAGCAATGTTTCAGCAAAGGGAGAACAAATCTGTTCATGAATTAATCTTCATTCAGACATAATTTATATTAGATTAAATAAATAACCTCAGTAATCACACAGTGTTACAGTAGTTTGCATTCTCTTCCCGTAAATCATTTCATTCCTATAAATGCTGATAGTAGTGTTCTGTACTACAGTGGGGCTAAAGACACCTTTATCTAAATGTACTATCATTTCTTTTGGGACACCAATACTGTACAATATGTGCATTCATTTGTGCAGCATTCTTCTTTGCAAAGTCATCTGTATGGACTCCAGAACAGTCCCCAGCAGAGAGCCAGCTTTTTCATAAGTTTGTCTTTAAGAGTGAAATCCAAAATCCAGACAAGAATTTTGACAGACTGATGGTGGCACTAAAAGCTGAACTTGTAAACCTGTAAGCTGCAAAAGCTTTGACATGTAACTCCTACCAACAGCAGAAAATACTAGTGAAGATTTTACATCTTTTTAATTAATTAATGTCACGGCCTTTTATTATTTCCAAACCAAATACCCCCAACAAAGAAAAAAGGCCGTTGGTGGCAACAGATGATTTGTGTTCTTGATGCACTTTCCTTTTATTTCTTGTTTATTTCTTGTAAAATTATAGAGAAATAATAACCAAAAATTCACTATAACTTTGATGCAAATCAGATGTATAAAAGGTCATCGAAAAGTACTACAAAAGTGTGGCGTTGTCAAAAAATCATTGTCTCAAAACCTCCCGTCATCACACCTGACAATCACCCCCAAACACACACACTCTGGCTGTTCTTACTCTCCAAAATTAATGGGAGGAGCTTAAAAAATGAACAAACAAATCATAATAATTCCAAACAATTAATTTCAATATGGTTCTGTACAAACTAAAATCAATTTTACCTACCTAAAATTGAACAGAACATGTGAATTACAACAAGTCAACTTAAACGGCCACAACAGTTAAATTCTGCTCAATTTTATGTCTAACACAAAATCTCAACATGTATAGGTACGGTCCAATCTGACCCAAATAGAATCTAGTTTATCAATCAACTGGTTGAAATATCTTTCAACATCACCACTTCACTCTTGATGCCGTTTACTGTTACATCATCAGGCTCCAGAAGAAAATACATCAGGATGTGACATTTGGAGTAAACCAGTCAAATAGCCAGGTCGGTTTGAACCAGTGGCTCAAATCTTTACTCATCCCACAAGTTCAAACCTTCTTGACCTCACCACAAGTAGAACTGAAAACGTTTGGCTGAACTAGTGAGAGCAAAGTAGAAAATGTTTCTTTACCTGTTAGGAGTGAGGAGTTGGTTGTTCCAGGACTCAGAATTCCCTTTAATGGCTCAGCTGTGTGGGAGAGGAGGTAGGCCTTTGTTTCCCCTTAAAACACTTGAACCTACCGCCTCTTTTAATGGACAGACCTCTGTATTCAACAGCCTCCATCTTATGTCAAGTATATAGGCAGTTTTTAAAATACACCTTAAAATATTCAGACATTTACACTGCTGATCAAAAAAGTTTGCATCCATAAATCCAAGCTGAGGCATTTCCAGACATCTTCCATTTCCACAGTTATTATGTAATATAATAATTGTGTTATTCTAAGGACTTTATTCTTTAACGCAGATATTCTGTGTTACAAAAGACCAGAAAAAACGACTAAATCTACGTTAACTGTCTATGTGTTGAAATGGGGTTGCTGTGAAGTCGGAAATGAGAGCAGGCCGTGAACGCATCAGGGAGCCGGACGGACTGGCCCGGTGAGTTCCCGTCCGCGGACCCGGGATCCGTTTTTTGGTCCCGGCAGTAGGCTGCGAGAGCCGGTGCTCTTCCTGGTACCCGTCCTGAGATCAGCCTGAGGGGTGAGACAGGTGGGACAGGTGAGTCAGGTGAGACAGGTGAGGTGACCCACCCACATGAGAGGCGCACAGAGCTCCCGACAGGTACGAAACCTCCAAATTGCTCTTTAGACCTATATTGTGTGCTGAAATTGGGCTTAAACGTCTAACAGAGAGATGTTTCCATCAATAAACGCTTTTAAAGATGGACGTTTCCTGCTTGTGTTGCAGATCAGACCTTGGAGAGCTGCGTTTGGCCCCCCGGGAGGGACGTCTGCGCCCGTTTCCGTACCAGAAGGTTTGTTACCTGGAGGTGTCTGTGGAGGTAGCTCAGGGGTTTGAGTCTGGTTTCCGAGAATAGAGAATTTCTCTTGGATCTTTAGGGAAATAATCCCTTTCTGTGGTTAGGAGAGGTCCATGAGAAGTTTGCGTCTGGAAACGCCTTACGCTCGTTTCCAACCGCGAATGCGCGAGAGTTTCTAACGCATGGCTCTTTTTTTCTCTCTAAAGTTATTTTAGAATATACTTGAAGTAGCTCGTTTCCCTTGAAAAGTTTTTTGTAAGTATAACAAAAGTTGCTCTGTGAGGAAAATGTTAGGTTGGTAACTTCCTTGCGTTTGGCTGAAAGTCCAAAAGATTCCAGAAAACTTATAAAAACTATAAAAAATAGTAATTGTACAAGCAAAAACTTAAAGGTGTAATTTAATCTTCAGTTTAATCATCATATTTAGTATAACAACAACAAATGACATTTATATACATCTGTATGTATAGATAGATAGATAGATAGATAGATAGATAGATAGATAGATAGATAGATAGATA